ACAACAGGTACGTGAATAAAAAACARATTAAAGAAAAGTTTGCAACAAAGGAGGAGGGAGATTATCGAATTTTAATAATTAGGGTGGATGCAATTTAACTGAGTTCAGTTTGAATGACTGCAATTAGGGTTTGTTTTATCGCCCGTTTTTTAGGTTGGTGGTGGGGGGGTTCGAGAGCATTCCAATCCCAACATTCTGCAGCCAAGATCGTTTGACAACATGCCTCTCATAACATGTCCAGCTAACTATTTTACTCACCGCTTGACTCGAAGGCACTATATCTCCAAACCCTATGGTCGTAAAAGTAATGAATATATAGTACAACGATGTCCCAAAATCCCAACCTTCGAGAGCGCAATACATGGATGACATCAGAGCCAAAAACACAAAGATGATTGGCAGAGCAAGCCACACAGGAGCACTGATCTCTTTACTTGCCGCCTCGAACTCGTAATCCTTGAAGTATTTCATTCGGATGCGAGATACGACCCATGCGCATGCGTTGTTCAGCTTGAACACAATGACGTTGGCAACCACAGCCAGAAGCATTAAGGTCAGCGGTATTCCTATCAAAGCGTACACGATGCAGAACATTCGACCACCAAGTGTTGTCGGRGCGAGGTTGCCGTAACCTTCAAGAGAGAGAAAAAATGTGGTGATAATTTGAGGCCCCGTCCACACGTATCCGGAAATTTWTGTATCCGCAAATTCTTTTTTGCGGATACGAAAATGTTTGCGTCCACACGCAGCGTATTCGAATCGTTTACACCGTCCAAACGTATCCGTTTTCGTAAAATTTGCGGATACGGACACAAAAAATTTCCGGAAACGTGTGGACGCAACCCGTATCCGTAAAAAAAAATTACGGATACAAAAATTTACGGATACGTGTGGACGGGGCCTCAATAAAAAAATTACAGAACCGTTTAAACTAGAATGGTAAAATTCCGTGTTTGGGGTGAACGTGACGTGACGTGCTGAGAACACATGACCTATCCGAACCACTTGATTGCATAAAAAGTAAAGTCTAAGAACTGACTAGATACAGAATTCTCCTCAACCGGAATTGATCAATTGCAACCTCTGTTTCCAATAGACCACGGATTCGCAAAAATTAACACAACATGTACAACAACTGTTTTAACCACCACCCGGTTGGCTCAGTTGGTTGAGCATCGGACTGTTGTGAGAGGGAGGTCGCGTTTCAAGCCTTGGCCGGACCAACAACACTCAGGGTCTTAAAATAACTGAGGAGAAAGTGCTGCCTTTGTAATTACATTTGTAAATGGTTAGACTTAGAAGTGGCACAGATGACCACGTCAATGGCGGTCCCAAGTCTCTCCTTACTTCATCATTACAAACCAATATCGGAGGGACGAAAAAGAGCCACTGAGGACGTAAAGAAACCCTGGTAGTGACCACCCTCAGTGCCAACACACCTCATATTATATTCATTCCTCAAATCGACGTGCACCCTCGCCTCTAAAGCCTCAGTCATATGCATGCAGAGCAGGATTTTCTCCTCGTGTTTCCTTCATTAAATATTTATTGATTCAATGAACACTGAGACGCAAACATCGCGGCASAAATCGACACAAATTCCAACGCTCAAAAAGGAACGACATTAAATGTGTGTGCTACACAATTTTGTCATGATTTTGCTACACAATTTCGTTTAGCAGACTTACCAATTGTCGTAACAACAGTCGTCGAAAAGAACAGAGAATTCGAAAAGCTCCACCGAAGTTTTGCAGCAGCTTTCTTCTTCTTGGTCATAGATTCCAACCCAATATTGATCTTGCTCAAGTCTTCGTCACTGAGTTTTTCCACAAGATCTTTACTGTTGAAATCATCAGGAAGAACTCGCTGACCGTAGGAGCTGCTTTTCAATGCATCTAGGATTTCAACCACATCATTCGTAGTCTTTGGCTGAACTTTTGGTTTCTTTTCGATGGCGCTGAAAATTAAACCACCGAGGTAGAGATACAAGGCGTTGGATAAAACCAACACACACAGGACTGTGTGCTTTCTTTTAAGTGACATCTTGCTTTTTTTAATTAGAACAATTTAAAATACTCATCTCATCAAGGATCTAGGTCCATCTAACGAAGTCAATCTGAAGGAGTTTCGGTCGTAAAATGAATAGATTAAAACCAAAACTTATAGTTATTAATAATTAACCTTGGATTGAGAATCCCATCAATAGGATGTGTTGGCTTTGTTTTGGAATTAGCCGCAATTATTTCACGCAGGGCTTTGAATGAAGTTAAATAGGAAACGCTTCATCCAATGGAAATCAGTGGAACGGTGATACGATAATAAGGCTTGCGAAAAAAAAAAACATCTCTGCATGCTTCGCGCCTCAAGATTTGAAGATTTTCATTCGTTGGTCGAAGTCCTGTATGAAAAGGGTGAGACCTGAAAAAAACATCTCTGCATGCTTCGCGCCTCAAGATTTGAAGATTTTCATTCGTTGGTCGAAAGTCCTGTATGAAAAGGGTGAGACCTGAATACAGCTACTCACGGTGAACCGCTTACGACCATAGCACGTGAATTTCTATTGCATCTCTCTCAGTTTTCGCTGGAAAAGGAAGCCCGCTCGCTAGAGAGATATAGTGTGTGAGAGTTCATAGAGCTGCCTGCGGAAGAGGCTACTCAGTTTTGATCTATAATTTCTTGGTAGTAAAATTGGATATTACTTTTTACGATTAGACATACCGATACCGATGGCTAGGCTCCAACAAGACTGAGTATTGTTTTCAAGGAATCGAATGCAACCACTTGTATTTACAGACTACGAAATGCATGGCAAAAACGGTTGCTCTTCCTTTTCCAAAGACAGAGTTCTTGAAGAAAAGTATTATTAGGTACAGTGGTGCCAAGCTGTGGAACTCTTTAAATGAACTGAGAAATTGCTATTCATTGTCTTTTTTTACCACTAAACTAACTAATATCCTATGGTTTTAACCAAAAGAAGATGTCACTTTTGTCTTACCTTTATCAACATAAATTTTCAATTGCTACATCCAATTATTGGGTTGCCTGTGGATTGACCTGCGGACCCCCCCCCCCAACTTTAACAAAAATTTCCTAGCGTCATATAATAAACCTCAATTCTATCTACGGGTCTATAACAACCGTTTAAAATCTCTAATGTAAGAAGCAACGGAAAATCCACAACAAGCGAGTGAATGACTTAGCACTGGGAAATTTAGCAAATTGAACTACACTCTTCGTGAACAGGTTAGAATTTAATCTCCAATTTCAACAGTTAAAATTTGTATGTTTTTTACTCTCTGTATTTTTCCTTGAACTTTTTTAGCATTACCCGAGATAAGAATAATTTGTGTTTTTTTTCCTTTGGTAASATTTCGTTTTTAATCTGAGAAATGATTGGATGACGTCAACTGTCGGTGGTTACTATAGTAACAAGGGCTCGATTTGGCGCCGGAACTAGAACAGAAAGACAAACATCTTCCTATCAAAGGTTAAAAACGTTGAAAACTCTGAATTATAATCATATTTTGCAAGGTTTGGATCGTTCTGTAGCTATTCTCCTTATCTTAAACGCAGCTCATAGTAGCTGTGAGTTTCTCASCTCCAAATGAGCCTTCAAAATGGCGACAGGTGAGAATTTTTACGGCTTCGTGTAGAAATGTTGAAATTTTTAATTGAAAAGCTTACGTTTGGATCTCAAAATTTCAGAGTTTCTTCGCTTGATGAGGATAAAACTATGCCAGATCAAAGTGTAAAGGCTAAAGCAAATGAAGAAGCAGTAAAATATCTATCAGCTATTGGTATGTTAGAGTAATTTTGGTGTTTGTTTAGTATAGAGGTTCGCTTTGATTATCGTAGATGGTTGTACCACTTGAAGCGCTTCAAGTCCACGATTCCTCTTCTTCYTGTGGTTTTATTTTACGACGTGGGATATTTTGATAACGATCTRCTGTGTCATCAAGGACTTTGAGTTAGATTCCTTGATGTGATCAAGTGTCCTTTTTTTATCGTTTCGTCTTTAAGCAAGCAAATAGTAAACAAATAAAACAGGAATTGTAAGACTAAATTGTTTGGGGGGCTAATTTAACTTCCCGTGTCTGTACATTCAAAATAAAACCTAAAACAGTTGAAACTAAAACCAATCGAGATGAAACTATTTCTACAAAGATATTTAAATGAAAGATCTTGAAGTATTTTACCGTAGTTTTGAGATATACTGTTCTGGAGTTGTCAAGATTATAAATGTCGTGTGATGACTATTAAAGGATTTTCAAGGTCATGGTTTGTAAACTACTGTAGTATATCCAAAAATATATTCCCTTCTGGTCGATCCTTACTCTAATAAAACTTAAATTCCTTAAGATCTAACCAGAATCGAATTTCTTATAATCAATTGAAGAGTTATATAGTTTTGGGTATTTAATATTTTCATATTTTCAACATTTTAATTTGCTCAAATTTCAACACATGTAAAACTGCATGTCGTTTCCTGTACAATATTAGTATTATTATTGATTATTTTATCATAATGAATAAACATGCTGTCATTAAGTATAATTTCTCCCCCAAAATCTACTGCTTATTCATTATTTTAAAGTAGAAATCTCCTTTTAATATATTTGTTATATATTTCCTCTTCAACTCGATATAATCAATCAATATTTAACWCTTATTGACTGGGACCCGAGGGTAACAGTATGTTTTGTAGACCCCAGACTGCCGACATCCGCGGTAGAGGGTCCACAAAACATACTGCTTTCCCTTRGTCTCAGTCAATAAGCGCTTAATTATCATATCAAGTGTCAAAGAGAATGAAACAKAGTAGAGTATTTTTCTGTAAGTAGTTGTTGAATTTCCTGCCCTCCATAAAACTACCTTTTACTTATGAATGAATCTTTGCAAACGCGCGCATGAGGTGATGTTTTTCGTGGTCACATGACTTCTGGTACTTCTGGAACAATGCATTATTKCCCTCTCAGACAACTCRCCGGGAAACAGTTGAATTTCTTCGCGWTTACRCGATACRCTCTCGACCAATAGRAATTGAGGAAAAATTGAGATYTGACACTTGGTTATAACAAAATATATATTTTTACTTTCAAAATATAAATATTAATTTAGTTATGGGTCTTATACTGTAATGTTTTATTTTGTAAAAAMATCTATGGTATTACTCACAGTAAATATGTTGTTATAGAAACATTATTTCATTACTTTTGTAACCTAACCCTAGTGTGAAGKAAGGAACTCATAAAGTCATTTTCTAAAGCGAAAAAAAATAAGATGAATTTTTTAATTAAAAATATTTTAACAAGTCTGTATTATTCTATTTTATTTATTTGTTCTTTTGAAAACAATTTCTTTTCTAGTTTTTATTACTTTACATAAGGTATATGATGTATTTTACTTTTGTTTCAGTTTAGATAATAAAAATAAAAATCAAAAAMAATTTTTTTTAAAAGATAATTTTACTAGAGTAATCTACAGTATGATTTGTAATATATACAGTATGAGTGGCCGTGTTGTATCAGATATACAACCACGAGGCATAACCGAGTGATTGTATTTCTGATACAACACAGAAACGATTACTGTATATGACTTATCAAACGTCTAGGTTAGTTACTTTGTGTTTCACTAAAATTTTCAAAATTAAAGTGAATTTGGCCAAGAAAATCCAACTTAAAGTTTATGCAAATGAACACAGTTTTGTATCAGATTTACAACACTCTTTACGGTTGTGATTTCTGTTGTGTTTTCCTCATGGATTATTTATGAGTTTGATAAATATTATTTATAAATTCATTGTTTTTGAATTTTTCTAAATATGATCAAATCCTTGGACATGGTTCATAGTGTTTAAAGRAAAGATACTAGAGCACCTGCTTTGTATAGGAATATTAGCTTTTTGCTCATTATTCCCAATACTATTGCAAATATGACACCCATACTTCCTGAACAGGCAATTATGTATGAGTCACCAGGAATATATGTTATATAATAAGTGATATGTTGTCTCCTGTGGTCTTATCAGAGAATAGATCTAGTTAGGTCTGATAATAAAAGTYACTAATAATTCTCTTATTTGATAGTACCTAGCCATAATCCCTGAGGCCAGAGCAAACCTTGGGCAATTTTATCAGTATTTCCAACCGTATAACCTGACATACTCCCTCAATTTCCTTCAATAGTTGCTTTCCATTTTTTACTTATTGTTTACAACATTTTCTAATTACCTTGCATAGTTGCCTAGAGTCAAATCTGAGGATTCATGTAATTAATACATTAAATGAAATCTAATCATATAGGAATTAACAGGGCTAATGTATCCATACGTAGATTGGGTCTTAATTCATCCAATTTGTCTGATTTGAATTCTTAAATACTGTAATTTTTGAGGAGGGAGGAATACCAGAGAACCCTAAAAATTCATTGTTCAAAGCACAGGAAAGAACTAGCAGTTCTATAAACATGTAATGCCAACTAGTACAGAAAGATATTCTTTGATAGCCGTTCGGAGAATGTTCTCACCACCATGGCACCTATTCTTCCCCTAATTGTACAAAACTAGAGTGTTTTACCTATGTATGTCCAAGTTTAGAATTTCGTATAGAAATAGTATTGGGCTCAAAGCTTTTTATTTTGTTGTGTTAGTAAGACTATGTTTACTATTAAGTATTAAATATTGTTTTTCTTTTTTCTTTTTGTAGATGATGGAACTTGGGAGTCATTATTATTCTCTGACTCTCTCATCACCACCTCGGAAACTGGCAAGGTATTAGAGCATTTCATGATATATCACTCTTTAAAATAATAATTTATCAAATGATATCATCTTAAAAAATTATAATTATTTATTATTGTGTAGTTTCAGAAATTATCCATACCCCCCTCCCCCAATCGAGGAATTTTTTCTACCCCTCTACCCCCAGAAATTCAAACTTTCTGCCATACAAACTTTGTAATTTTGTTCTTTCTCTGACCCCCCACCCCTTGGACTTTCCAAATTCCCCTGTCTGGGGAAGGGTATGAATAATTTATGGAACTACACAATAATTAATAATCATAATTTTTTAAGATGATAGAACACTAAAAAAYGCTAAAAGTGTGCAACATAAATATCATTAAATAGTGTTATTTTATGCTAATTCTATTGTTTTCTTTTGTTTAATTAGTGATAACTAAATAGTGATAACTATTGCACACATTTAGTGTTTGTACACTAATAATAAAATATAATATTAAATGATAATGATACATGTAATAACAAAGATAAAAATTGAATATATTGCTAGCACCTATCCTAGCTAGTCTGCTCTATGAAGTTTTAAGAAGATAAAAATTAAATAATGATAATAATAATAATTTATTACTTATAACGCGCAAATTAGCATGTGTATATKATCAAATGCGCGTAACAATAAAATAAGATAATACAATCACACCTACCAAATTGCAGGAACAATATCATGTATGAAAATAACAAAATAACAAATAGAAAATAATTATTTTTTTGAGCAAAAAGGAGTTTTAATTTGCTGTTATGAAGGTATATTTGATGTGACCTTGTCAGTATATACTAAAACAGTTATATTCTTCCATCTAGGGGGCTTAAATCAGAATCAAAATATTAAAAATCATTTCTCACTTATTCCTTTTTTTTATACGACAACGTTCTTGCAATTAGGTGTCAATTATGATATGATATTCATAAAATGAATAATTAATATAAAATAGATTATAAAATAACTGTTATGCATGTCACATTCTGATTGGTTTGAAGTGTGTGCTTTATGAGAGCACATTGTACGCATGCGCACTTTCCGTTGCGTCATTCCTACATGTATCTATTATTGTAATTTGTAATTTATAAAAGAAATAAAAAACTTGCTGTGCTGTGTGCYGTCATATAGCACGCTGGAGTTGGCAGAACATGAGAGAAGTGTTAGGAGAAGCACGGTACGCGCGTTTTCTATTTCTTCAATAATATAAAATGATTAGTAGAACAATTGAACTGTACGGATTGGGCTAAGATTTTTCTATTCATTTTATAAATCTTGCATTTTGAAATTAATAAATTATTATTGAAAGCAAATACGCTGTTAATGCTGCACGTAATTTGGCTGATTGAATATAARCAATATAAACAATGAATTCAGGAAGCTGGCTATCAAAAAATAAATCATTACAGAGTTGAATAATTGTTTTGTTTTCCTTATTGAAGTAGCCTGTTGAAGGAACAAATATGCTTCCATTAAGAGATTAGCACGACCAATATTCAAGAAATAAAAACTATTGTAATGATAGATAATTCTTTTAAGCCTTCCACATTAGTTAGCTATTGAGTACCATGTAGATAACGACTAGTTTTGAAACTAGCTTGGACTGCGTCTGTGTTTTTTAGTTGAAACAAATGTGTCGTAGTAGTTGACTCTGGCGWAGGACGTAACGTCTGAAACATCAGTCTACTATCTTTCGCACCTACGGTGATAAAATTATCTACTACGACACATTTATTGAGTACCATGTTAGCTAATGGTTCTTTAAGTGTTCTCATCATGTTCTTGACGTTGCCTACCAATGTTCCTATAAACAATTTTACTAATGGACTATTAGAAGTCTTTCATTTCCTTAAGTACACCTTGATAGGTCTATTAGTGATAGCACACTAATAGAGAAAAACAAATTAGAGCTATGGTATTGAATAGACATTACTGTCAGCTATGACAAGGATTTTGTGAAGTTTTTAAGGTTTATGGTGGGCTGATCAGTGAGGCAAATAGTCTAATGCAGCTGTGTCTTATTACAGAATCACTCATTTCAAAAAGACTGAATTCCTTGGCTTGCTCAAAATTTAGTAAATTCAAAAATATCTTTAATATAAACATGTACTCACAACTTTGCACAGATGTGTTCAAACTTTGTCTTTGCACGGGAAAGTAAATTAATTAAAGAAATAACTGTTTCTACCTTTCCTCGTTATATCAAATTCTGTTACAACCCCATCRCCCACACCCAGCTCCCCACTCCCTTCCTCTCTCTTCCCCCTCTGCCCGCCCAAACCTGGTTTATATAAGGTTACTTGTACAGTATATTCCAATAAAAAACCAGTACCCCATTCACACCAAGGCTTAAACATGTTTAAAAGTGGTTTAACTAAACAGGTTTGGAAAACTATCTACGAACACTGCACAATACTAATTTGGTGTAATAATGCTTGTAAACTATCCTTTGTCTTGCTTTGACAATATTTTAGAAAGTTTCATTATATTGTAGGTTTCTAGTTTCTCAATTTTTTTCCTAATGAAAACATAGTTTAACTAAACACGTTTAGGTGTGAATGGGGTACAGGGCTTGGTAAATAGCAATGCCAGAATTTCATGGTTAAAAAAAGTAGCCAGCCAATCKGACCAAACACATAATATCTCAAAGRTTTTAGTRTATGTCCAATAATYAGTGATYTTTWTTGCAGGAAATTGGAGAAATGAAAATAACAGTTGAACCAGCAACATGGAAGGATGAGCCATGTTATCTTGTCCATGCAAACAGCCATGGTGTGATAGATAGATTACCAATAGGGACATCAGTAACYGCRTACGTTGATAGATCACTAAAAACCTTGGAGCAAACTCACTATGAATATGTCAAGGTATTTTATTATGTAGTTAGGGGTAGTCATTTAACTTATGGTTCTGAATCCCCTTAGTTACTGTTGCTAGGTCCCACAAGCTTCACAAAGTCAGGGGCGGCGGAACCGGGGGTTCTTAGTCATTGTTTTGCGGCACATGCGTCTGCAATCAAACAAAACATTGGATCGTTATCACATAGCGTTAAATATATTCTTCAGTGCCCCGCCAAAGATTTTTGCAGTGCCCCTGAAAGTATCTAGAAATCTTGAATATATATTGTTTTATTTTTTTTTATTTTCCTGCAAAAAGAATAGAAAATTGCCTTGCAATCTTTGTAGTGCTCWTTAAAACAGATACTGTGTAGTTGTTTGTGTGACAACAATTTAATAGGACGTTTGTCTGATGGCATCATGACCTCTACTGCCAGACTCCCTTGCACACTTCCTTTTGTTCAGTTAATTAGTAGAGCCATTTGTCTTACTATTCTCATGAGGGAATACAAATTTGAATAAGAAAGAAAATTTGCTAAGCGTTATGGTAGTGGGAGTCAAAATGACACCATCATGCAAACTTCCTGTTGACACTGGGAAGAYTGCCGCAACAGTGATTGGCTTGCTATTGTCTGAGTCAGAACTATGAATAGGCTAGCAATTGGTGCATACTGTACTTTTAAATATATTGTACTCAAACTTGGTGATGGTGGGTAGTCATTTAGTCAAGTACTACTTCTTTTTGTTTTTGCGGGTGAAGTTTGCTAATCTAACAGTCATATTGACTAATAAGAATTTTGGTAGYATCTTTTTATAACAACATATATTTGTCCTTTTCTGTAAAATGCTATCTGCAAAACCGCATAGCTAGTTTACTAGTGATAAGTATGTAAAGCAGAAAAACTAATTTCTAGCCCTGCTGTAGAAGAGAGTTAAGTTTATTCATGGCAATCAGTATTTATAACTTGAAAACTGTAAACTTATGATTTGGTAGATCCCAGACCAGCCATTAGACAGAAGAACGTTTCTAGCACTAGAKGACAATGTTTATACAGTACGCAAGACAATGTCACAAGGAGTGGTRAGAGATTTTATTGTCAATATTTTATAATTTAT